TAGGCCAGTCGTATAACTAAAACCACAGACCTCCTAGCTCTCGTATCGTCGTTTGATGTTTCATTTTCCGCTGGTCTTGAACGGAGTCGGGCCTTGAATCTACATCTGTTTGTTCTCGTTCAGTTGAGGTTGACGCTATGTTATCCTCAACTAAATTCTGTAATTGCTATTTTTCATCACCCTTCGTGCTTGAGTCTGCCACGGAGTTGATGTTCCTAGATGTCTGTTGATCTCCCTTGATTTGACAGATTCCCCATGGCGTTGAAAATTTAATGACTTGATGCAAAGTTGAAGGAACGACGTCCATCTCGTGATCCATGGTCTCCCAAGAATCATATTGTAAGCCACCTCCACGTCTACTACCTGGAACTTTGTGTCTTTGATGACTCCTTCAGCAAATGTGGTGAGCGTTACCTCTCCTTTTGTAAAGACGCTGGAATTATCAAACCCAGATAGAGTATGTGCCTTTGGTATTACTTTTTCTTCAGCTTGCACTCACGCAATACTCGTATCAAAATAATGTTCACAGAACTACCTGGATCAATCAAAGCTCGTTTCACGTTAGTGTCATGTACAAGTAAAGATATTACCAGTGCGTCGTTATGTGGAGTTAATATACCCTCGGCATCTGCATCACCGAACGTAATATTTTCTCCCTCCAAGACATGTCGAGGCCGCTTCCCGTGGGTAATTGTTACTTTTGAAAACTTTTTATATGATACATCGTTGATCTCTTCACCCCCTACTTATAACGTTGACAGTTTTCTTGGGTGAAGGTGGTTTTGGAGGCTCTTGCCTGTTCTTCGTGTATGCTTGTTTACCTTTCTCACTGAATAACTCAGTGAGATACCCCTGTTTTAGCAAATGATCAACTTCACCTTGCAGAAACCTGCAATCTGCTGTTTTATGCCCGTGATCATTATGAAATTCGCACCAATGATCAGGGTTTCGTCTGTTTGGATTCGATCGCATTTTTTTTGGCCACCGTACCTTATCTCCCATGCTTATTAAAACAGCTACGAGTTTAGAGGTGCTTACGTTGAAGTTGTAACCACCGAACCTTGCCTTTAGACTTCCATCATCGTCTCGTGACCCGCGTGTGTTCCGATCATTCACGAACCTTGATGAGGAACCTGATTCCCTATTTCTAGGTTTGTGATCGTACCTTTGATTATCTTGCCTTGACCGTGAGTCCTTCCCCGCAGGTCCCATGTAAGGCTCGTACCTGTTTTTACCAGGTCTTTTTTCATTTTCTATACGTCTTGAGCTTACTTTTCTTCTGTTTTATGTCGTAAAATAATTTTTTCTTCAATCCTCATCTTTGTACTGTTTCTGTTGTAGACATCATTCCACATTGTTGCTGGGAATTCTCGAAGGCTTTCCTTGAGTCGCCTCGTGGCTTCTGAACTCTTCTCATTCAAATTGCTGGTGAAGGCTATGGCTGCCCAATTGTCAGGTACTCGTGGCAATGTCATTCTTTCCCTTTGAAATCTATCCACGAATTCTCTGAGCAGCTCTGAATCTCCTTGCTTGATTTTGAAGATGTCCTCCATTCTTTTTTCAACTTTTTGAGTGTGCTTTGACAAATAAATCTGCAAGCTCAGCAAAAGAATTTATGAAATTTTCAGGTAAAAGAGAATACCATGTTAGTGCCCCTTTAGTGAGTGTTCACCGAATTTTTTGACCAAGACTGATTCAATCTCCTGCTTAGTCAAATCATTGCCCTTGACTCCTGTTGTAAATGCAGTAACATGATCTCGTGGGTCTGTTGTCCCATCATACTTTGGAATATCGGGCATCTTGAACTTCTTTGGAATTGAGAGAGGGGCGGCACTTGGCTTCCATGGTTGTTGAGAATATTTATCTATATCCACCCCCTTGATCACGGGTGGTACTCCGGGTATTTGTTCTATGCGGTCGTTTTGCTCCTTAAGCTGTTTCTGCAATGTTAGTACTAGATTTTGCAAATCAGAATTAATTGGATTACCTGGGTCTCCCTCCTGTGTTTCACTGGGGGTTCCACCGCTGCCTGAATTAATCAATCCAGAACGAGGGTTCTCCAAAGTATTGTTATTTTGGAGTAGGTGTGGGTGGAGCAGCAGGTAATTGACTAACAAAAGCTTGTAAAGCTTTGTTGACCTGAGTAGCGATAAGTTTTTGTAAGGCATTATCCATAGCTTCAGCATTTTCAAATTGACCTCGTTCTTCCGTGTGATATCCTTCAGGAGCGCCTTCACGAGATTGTCGTGGTGAGTCTCGTGGTGTTTGATCTTGAATAGCATCATTTTGTGGATCTCCCTGATTTTGTTGATTGATTGGGTTTCCTTGGATATTGTCATTGTTGTTCGACATACTTGATTCCACAAAAAAAAATCAAGCTGAGATATAATTGATTATCAGATTTCCAGTAACGGAACCAATTTGTTTAACCAAAAATTAGATTTTAGGTCAAAGCTTGAATTTAGAAGAACACGGGTTACTGATAATCGGAAAAGAGTATAAAGAAAGAAATTTGAGAATAAGATATGAAAGCTAGTAAATCAGAGTATATTTCAATAGTGTTTTTTTTGTGCTTACAATTGTTTGTGACTTTCCCTTTTATAGCCATTTTGGGAATACAGACTTTACCTTTGTCATAATAAGACAATTATGGGCAATTAATGACTTTAAATGTTACGTTATGTAATCATATAAATTAAATACATATTCTCTAACGTTTCTCGCATTTAATGCTCATTAATTGCTGTATCTGGGCTCTTATTTGCTGTCAGATTCATTCCTTTGATTCTTCACGATCTTTGCGGTTTAAATGCCTTGAACAGGTACGGGCATTGAATGTCTCGCATGACTGCTGGTGTCTCTTCTGTTTAACTTGCTCGTGTCTGTTGCTGCTCGTACCTATTGAACAACCTTAATTCTTTGACTGTTTGGCTAGTCTACGTGTCATGACACGTCATCTCCAATATGCAGAGTAAACTTTTCCCAATACATATACCGGCTAGGAAACAAAAACAGTGAATACAGCCAGCTTTTTGTGTAGAAATTCCATTAGAAGAAGAAAATGTAATTCCAGAATTTTTATTCAATGGGTCTCAACTGGACCTTGTCTTCTGCATAAGATTTCTCACTAACTATGGTTAATTAATTAATATGTGACCTTAGTTTATTGCTCAATCATGATAAATTAATATAGTTGGTATGTGCATTGTGTTCTAGTGTAAGTTCTTTTCCATGCTTTGGGCAATTCCTATCTTAATCAAATCCACAATATGACTCCCTGAGTCAAGCTAACATTTTCTCATGACAAAATATCCATAGGACAAAGCATTAGATTTTAACTTTGACATGATCACTCCCTCATTAGGGACTAAATTTCTAGTAAAACAAAGTTTAAGAGGCATCATAAACAAGCAAGTGTTTTAGGTAGCATAAAAAAAATGCTCGTTTAGTTTCTCTTTTTGGAAAGAATTCTACTAGCAAACTAAAAACTAAGAAGTCGTTTGTTTTTAACAAAAGTTATGCTCGGATAATTATATTAGAATTAGTTATACTGAGATAAGTTATGTCGGGATTAGTTATTCTGATATTAGTTCTTATCGACTGTTTGATATGTTGTATTAATCATGAGATTGTCAATTTTATTGCTTTATCCTGGGATAAGTTTTTCTGGGATTAATATTCTACCTTCTGGCAGATATAAATTATCCCAATACTATTTTTAATCCTGGGATAACTTATCCCAGAATTAATAACCAAACAAGAAATAAGGTGGTATTAAATTTTTATCCCAAGATTATTTTTAATTATCCATCTACACACATGTGATTTTTCCAACTTGTTCTACTACTTTATATTAAAAGAGCAAAGGAAAAGGACAATCTTGAGACTTGCTGCTGCAGTGCAGAGTCTTCAGAGGCAGCTAAATTCAGCTTAAATTTCTCTGTGTCCAAATCCCAAAGTCATCTTTCTTTTTCAATAAAACTCATGTCACCTCTGTCTATAAAGTGAAACAAAACAAACAACCCCTAATGTTTTTTTCTCTTTTTCCTTCATGTCTTGAGTCTAGTGTCAGTCATATTTTGTTCCTTTTATAATGGTGTCAAATTCTTGAAAAGCTCAGAAAAAAACTACCATAACTGTCTTCCCAAATTCTTGAATTTTGTAAGTTTCTTGAAAAAAGATTAGTAAAAAAGATATGATTCTGTTTCTTGGTTTGGTAATTATAATGGTGTCAAATTCTTGAAAAGCTCATAAAACTACCATAACTGACTCTTAAGTTCTTGGATTTTGTAGGTTTCTTGAAAAAAAGAAGAGTAAAAAAGACATGATTTTGATTGGTTTTTGAGCATTTTTAGTTCTTGTTTTTATGATGGTGTCAAAATCTTGAAAAGCTCATATAACGCATGATTTTGGTTGGTTTTTGACCTTTTTTAGTTCTTGTTTTGGTAATTATAATGGTGGTCAAAATCTTGAAAAGGTCATAAAACTAACATTACTGTCTTCCCAACTTCTCATATTTTGTAAGTTTCTTGAAAAAATAAGAGCAAAAAAGCCATGATTTTGGTTGGTTTTTGACATTTTTAGTTCTTGGTTTCAAAATCTTGAAAAGGTCATTAAACTAACATAACTATATTCCAAAGTTGTTGAATTTTGTAACTTTCTTGAAAATAGAACAGTGGAAAAAGACATGATTTTGGTTGGTTTTTGACATTGTTTTAGTTCTTGATTTATTGGTAATATTATGGGAGAAGAAGAGGGGTGGGGTTGGGCACCAACACCAAGTGGATCACCAATGTACATAACAAAAGATGATCATTGGACTCATTTTGACAACTCCGTTAATGCTGTTTCTTTTGGATTTGTTGCTACTGCCATTCTTATCTCTATGTTCCTTATCATGGCCATTTTTGAGAGGTTTCTTAGACCTAATTCGCCGGCTTTGTCGCCGTCCGGTGGCCGGAATCTTGGTGATATCGATTCCCAAATTGGTTTCAATGGAAAACTTGGTTATCCAACATCCAGAGTAAGTGTCTTTAGCTGGAGTTACTTATTTTGTTCTAATTGCATTGTAGCTGCTGGTAATTGTTGATTACAAATTTTGCGAGAAATGACACCAGGTAGCCATTCTAAACGGCTGTTATTTAGGAAATAGTCAGTGCATCTTGAATTTTAGTTTTTCAGGAAAAAAATATCTTGAGTTGCCTTGAAGTTAACATTTTTAGTTTAAAATTTCAGGACAAAATAAGTACGGGCTAATATCTAAGTAGCATCCTGAGAATGGCTATCTATGCACTTGCTCCAAATTTTTTCTTTCCTAACAATGTTTATGAGGCTGGTTCTTTGTGTCCTTGTATTTGATGGGCTTTTAAAATATTTGGCCGGTCGTCCAAAAATAATTACAACCGCTAGCTAAATATATAAAAAGATATACGCGGATTATGTATAAAGTTGCATGTGACTTCCCTCAAGATTGTGATACACAGAAGAATACTCCTATTATTTTGGTGTCCTAGTAAACCGCTGTAATTATGCTTTTTTTTGAGCCGAAGATCTAAAAGAAACGGCCTTTAAGGTCAACGTATACACTATATTCCTCCGACCCCATAGGGATATTCTAGGGATGTTGTTGTACTTTATGCCTTTGCCTGTTGATTTTAGTGTTGGAACATAGCCCCACATATGTACATGACTTCCATAATTCCATTAAGATCCATCACCACCTATCTTAATGATGCCTTGCTTGCCAACTCTGACTGCAGAATGGAGATGGAATGCCAGCCTTGTAGAAACTATGTGTTTTCTATTTTATAGTATTATAACTCTTTTTCAGCTGAAATAACATGTATTATACACAACTAGCTTCCTTATTGTGGCATAACTAGTAGTATTTTTTTTTTAATATTGTTGGTGTTCGGATCAACTTGTATGCACCTTGACTATTCCACCGATTACCTCCTGCTTCCTACACAAGGAAAAGCACTTGACATTCGTCTGTTGTTAGCGGCATTCCGAAAACGTCCGGGTTGAAATACGGCTTAACATACCAAAAAGACAATGGAAAACCAAAGTTCAAATCGCAATAGAGACAAAATTTATTAGGTGATATTTTACATTTGCCTAAGGATTGGTGAATAAAATTACTCCTTACCATTGTTTAGGTCCTAGGTTATTAGGAGTCTTTTAATATTTTTATGTTAGTAAAAGTATAGAAAGATTCTGTTGCTTTTGTTCTAATTTTTATTTTGTGTAATGTTTGCTAAATTCAAATGGAGAAACATGGTTGGTGAGATTTTATACAGCCGATCCCAACTTATTTGGAACTGAAACATTGTTTTTGTTACTTCTTTCAATGTCTCATGTGTCTTGAGCCATATGATTTATCCAAAAAGAGGGGAAAAAGGAAAGTGTCTTCACTCTTTCAGTCATATGACATTACCAATTCTAAAGAGATTTATCTAATTAACCCTAGTCACAATTATTTTGTGGGAGCTTTATTTTAAAAATCATGCTCCATGATATAGATATTATACAATTACTTCACCTTTTGTTGGATAGGGGGGTAATGTTCATGTGCTGGCAAAGATTAATAGCTGCCCATACTTAATAAAATAAAAGTTTCTGCCCTGTACTTCCACCATTTAAATAAATTATATATAAAATAAGAAAATATAGATAGTTGGACATGTACTAAAGAATACAATATTAGTTACTTTCGAGGTTGCTAATTTCACTTTTTATGAACAGTTACCTATAGTTTTTTTTCGAAAGAATACATTTTTGCTAAATATATATTCCAGTTTGAATTTGTACTTGAGTTATGATTTTGCTCTCAGGTATCGACAAATGCGCGAGAAGTATCAGTGTTGATGCCAGGAGAAGATATCCCTACTTTTATAGCTAATCCTGCTCCTGTACCTTGCCCTCCCGAACGCGATCCATGGCCTCCCCATCAACAGCATTCTTTACCCGGTCTTTTGAACCCGACCCAAATGCATAGTCCTAGCATTAGGAGTTATGTACATACCATTTAGACATTAAATTCCTAGCACGGTCTGCCTAATTAGTATGAATATTACGTTAATAGAGTAAGATATATTTTAAGTTGTGTTCCTTATTTTCTTCTTTTAATTTTATATTAAATCTGAAACTTTGAGATGGAAATAGCAACAGAAGCTTTAGCTTGTGCTTCAGTTTTGTTGAATATCTTCCAGATTTTCCAGAAATTGACGTGCATTGGCATTGGTTTGTTAAAAGGTTAAAAATTATACGACTTTGATTTGCATTTGGCATAGTCTTGCGTGGGCTGAGAAGTTGAAAAAATAGCCTGATAAATTAAAGGGAGAATGACACTGTATAACCGCTCTCAAAATAATAGCCGAAAATGTATATTTTTTGTATATGTGTAAATTCTGTATGTTATATATATAAAAATTATACAAATTTTATACTTTTTTCGACTATCGAATGTAAATAGTTTTTTGCACAGGCTAAAAGTGAAAAAATCCCAAAATTAAATCCAGGCTAAAGACTTTGAGGCGTAAAAAATTACTCTTCTTAAATAGATATTGCCCGTACTCTAAGTTGAGGAAAATACAGGCAACTCTCTTCAGGTCATCAGGTGATTATCAATCTTTCATAGATATTACAAACAATTTAACCAGAATTCTTGACCTTCACAATGTATGTGGAAAGAATCTTAAAAAATAGTCCCGCATGAGAATTTTAAAGTACGCTGCCAGAGTTTTGATAGCGTGCTTCAAATTTTGGCAGAGTTCTTAAAATTCTAGCAACGTGCTTTAAAATTACGACAGTATGCTTTAAAATTCTGGTTTGTGGCTATTTTCTTAAAATATTTCTTAACATGATCAAAATTTAAATGGTGACACTAAATGATCCTATTTGTGTAAATCTCCCGTCTGTTACCAAGTTTTCACATCTATTTGGGCTGATAAATCCAATAAAAAGCTCAAGTGTAACAACAAATAAATCCAATGGCCTGCCCATTACAGGTAAAAATGACACCAGATAGCCATTCTAAAGTACTGTTACTTAGGAATTAGCTAGCGCGTCCTGAATTTCAAATTTTCAGGACAAAACTATTTTGAATTGTTCTGAAATTAAAATTTTTAGTTTAAAATTTCAGGAAAAAATAAGTATTGGCTAATTTTTAAATAGCATCGCTAAGAATGGCTATCCGTGCACTTGCCCCCATTACGGAGTTCTTCAAATCTTGTCGGGCTAATCGAAGTGAAGAAAATGTGTCTGCCTGTTCCATGGTGTTTTCAGCGTTTCTTAGGCCAATATTAAAAAGAAGTTGGGCTAGGGGCAACAAATATCAACGTGCTTACTCGTTATGGGACTGCTAAATAGGTGTGTTTGGTTTAAAAAAGAACTCACAACTCCCATTAATCTAATACTAGAGTTTATTAAATATTTAACGGAGATCAAAAGTGCTCACTTTTCGTATAGGATTAAAAAAGGTCAAGAGTATATTTATCAGACTATTTTAGACCCTACATAAAACAAGGACTATTCTTTGTCATTTTGTCATTTTTTTGACAATGGGCTAACAAGTTGAGGACCCAAAAACATCAAGACTACAGGGAAGTTCTGACCAAGCGCATTTGCATCTATACTCAGTTTTTGAGTCACCATTTAACTTATACTTTCTGTTTTGTAAAAAAAAATTACAAGCGCACTCACTTTTCGGATAACTTCAGACATACGGGGCCTAAAGTAGCAAGAATTTATGTCTGAAGTTTGAACATCAAATTTTTTGCCTGAAGTGTGACCTTATCAAAGTAAAACTTTAGATTTTTTTCGTCTGAAGTTTGGCCTGACTTGCAAAAGCAATCAAAAAAACTCAGTTTGCAGTCTGAAATTCTTTAGTTTGTAGTGCAAACTTCAGACAAAATCAAAAGTTTGTCTGAAGTTCTTCATTTCTTTATTATTATCCCCCTTTGCCATTTGCAAACAAACTACCCTTCAAAATTTTCAAGAGCAGGGACAAAGGAAATTTGTACAATTGTTGAGACAAACAAATGGTAAAAGAATTTTACTAGAGATGTCATATCTCTCTTTTTCTAATTGTTTGCAACAGAATAACATTGCTGAAAAAGAGAAAGAGAAGGAGAATCTACGGATGCAACGACGGGTCTGAAGTATGGAGCGCATAGGTCGCAGGAGAAGAAGAGGAGGCAACGACGGGTCTGAAGTTGTCAAAATTAGGGTATAGGTTAAATGGGGGCGACCAAATAGGACGCCCCATGCAATTTTTACGCTTTATGTGTTTGGCAGGTTTTTCCCTATCTATTTTTCCTCAAGAATGTAACACTACTCTTCCATAATCGTAATATCCACTTTTTTTTTATCGATTATACAATTTACTCGAAACGAGGAATTTACAAGAAGCTTGTTTTGACGCGTGGCGTTCTCTTTGTTTGTCATCCCACATAGTAAGAGGCTCCTGTTTGGCCAAGCTTTTTTTTGGGCCAAAAGTATTTTTTCGGCCTAAAGCATTTTTGGCAAAAAATTGAGGTGTTTGGCCAAGCTTTTGGAAGGAAAAAAAGTGCTTGTGAGGAGAAGCAGAAGCAGTTTTTGAGAAGCAGAAAAAAGTAGCTTCTTTGCAAAAGCACTTTTGAGAAAAATATACTTAGAAGCAGTTTTCAAAAGCTTGGCCAAACACTAAGTACTGCTTAAAAGTGCTTTTCAAATTAATTAAACAAACACAAACTGATTCTCACCAAAAGCACTTTTTTTAAAATTACTTTTGAGAAAAGCACTTCTCAAAATAAGCAAATTTTAGAAGCTTGGCCAAACAGGCTATAAGAGCCACGGTCCGACGTGTAGGTCATTTTAGTGTTGTTGTAATCCGCAGTTTATTTGCAGATTACACTTGAAAATGGAACACTTAAACACTACTTTTGGGCGAAGTCAATTCAAAGGTAAATACATAGGAACAACCCCAGAATGGCTGATACTGCCTACTAGTTTGGCCTATTTTGGTTTCTCCTAGCTGCACGTAAAATCAACAAACAATTAACAAACAAATTTTTAATGATGGCCACCACATAGGCCAAAATGAGAACAATTCAATCTAAACTCTTTTCTCGTAAATTTTGTAATATTATATTTTTGTATTTTACTTAAATCATTCTTTCATTACCTCGTTGGTTATTTTGGCGGCTTAGTTGTTATGGTGGAGTGTTATCCTTAATTAGATGATTCGAATTTGAATCTTAGGTATAGAGTCACTTTCGTCGGAGCTTTTTACCCCAATTTTTTTTGTTTTTTGATCCGAATTCAAATTTAATTGGATACCAATACGGATACTGAATACTGAGTAGGAAACCAAAGAAAGAAATTAAAAGAATTTAGGGTAGTTGAGATGAATATGGTGGCATAAAAGCTATGCAATAATTAGTCAAAGTTTTCCAATACTTGCTACTCTGTGTCCATAAATACGATCTCATCAAGATCTCAACAACTTCTTGTTCCATTCTTTTAAACCCACATGCAACTTGCAATCTTTCATTCCCCTTTGCTCTTACAAATTGAGCAACTTTATATTAGCTAGAGTTTTACGTATCTTTAAAATTTAATTTTATGATAGTATGTTAATTATCATTTTATTAGATTACTAGTTAATGTTTATCAAATTTTTAATATATAATTACCTTGTATGCGACTCGATTTATTAATGTATTTTACATTGTTAGTACGTAGAATTTTAAGTCCTAATTAACCATATAATAGATAGTTATTATAATTCACGCATGACCTTCATTTCTTTATCTCACATAATATCGTTGTGTTGGGCAGTCCTTGTTAGTATACTGTATTTGTAAAATAAATCTGGAGAAGAAAAACAATGTATAAATAAAAATGTAGAAGAAATAAAATTTAATCTGAGCCCACTGAATTCACAGTGTTTCCTTATGGAACTTAATCCCCTCCTAGTACCCGAGGTTGTGGATTATTTCCTCCTGGATAGAACGGATTATACATTGGTGTACCGGTACTTCAAACCCCAGTGTTTCAGCGAACACAATGATCTGTAGCAAATCACACTTACTGTTGCTTTCTTTGTAGTTAAAACAATGCAGAAGAAAGAAGAGATTTCAGAATTTTCGTCAGGAAAATCTGAGGGAATAGTCTGCTATTTATAGCCAACTTAACTGAAGAGGTGCAACTCTTCAGAGTGACTGTTATGATTATTTGCGTAAGAACGACCATTACGTAAATGGCTACTTACGCAAAACAAAACGGGAAATTAAAACGCGGAGGAAAATTAATTTACCGTTACAAAAATGGCTGATTTGGATTATAATAATATTACGTTAATCTTAATATTAACAAATAAATTTGGTCCAAAAAATTTAATCAATCAATCATTTGACCAAATCCGGAGCTGGAGCCGAGCGAGCGACTACGACTAGGGGTGTTCGTCGGTCGGTACGGTACGGTATTTAGACATTTCGGTTCGGTATTTTCGGTATTCGGTTTCTTAAAATCCTATACCAATACCGTACCTAATTAAATTCGGTATGGTTCGGTTTTTCTCCTTTCGATTTCGATTTATTCGGTTCGGTAACTTCGGTTTATTCGGTTTGAATACCTAACTAGTGCATAGAGCCATAGACTATAATATTCTTAATTAAAGTACTCAAAAATACAAAACTGAAAATGTTTGTCGACAAAAATTTTGTCCAAAACTAAAAAATATCGATCCAAATATAGAGAAAATTGTACATAAAAGAATATTTGATCATTAGAAATGTCTTGTTACTTGTTTGGAGTTAATTGATGAACTTAGAGAATAAAGGAAAGTAAAATTTAGATTTTTTATATTTATATTATAATTGATAATATATATTTTGTGTAATATAATATATATTTCGGTACGGTATCGATATTTCGATTTTTTTTTTTAAAATACCAAATACCATTCCTAATACCATTTTTTTGAAAAACTTAAACCAAATACCATACCAAATACCAAAATATCGTATACCAAATACCAAAATTTTCGGTTTCGGTACGGTAATTCGGTATTTACCAAATTATGCACAGCCCTAACTACGACGACGTGAGGCTTGCATTCTTCTTAACTCTTTAAAAGCTAGAAGAAGAGCAATTGTACATATACCCATCAAAAATCTTTTCCTCCTCTAATCTGGGACAATGTCTCTTTGTAAAGAGAAAAATTCAAATATTTCTTTTTTCCCTCCATTTCCCATTCACTCTCTATCTCTATTTTAAATCTCTATTTTAAGCCAACCAAGCTTAAACCCAACGGTCCTAATTAGCTATAAAATTAAGTATTTTGTTATTTCAATTTCAACTTGAAATATCATTTGCAAATCAATATTTGTTTTGTGATTTGGTCCATTGTATCCACTTCAATTTGAAATAGAGAACTTGAGATTGAAATTTAATTTGAAAAGTATTTCAAATAAAATAATAGTTTTTATTCACTAAGCTTCAATTTTTTTTTTGTAAAATTGAATTCATTTCCACATTCAACTTCTCAAACATTCTCTTTCAACTTCAACTTCAAATATTTATTTTCTTCTAACTTAAATATTGTCCAAACGCCTAAAATCGTCTCATATTTTTTAGGGTAAAATATATATCACATTCCATACAAGTTACATGTCAATACTTATATGATTTCTTGCACTAAACTTGATTTATTTCACCTTTGAAATATTTATTAGTTTACTGAACCAATAAGTACACATAAATTATGATTCTCTCTACATAAATACCAACATTTACAACTTAAAAAATAAAAGACAGCCAAAATATAAGAACATAGGTTACTTAAATATCCAAATATACATTTTAAAGAAAAATAAAACATTCCATAGACACTAACGGGTTTTCAAGAGATTCATTTCCATTTTTCAAAGGCTGCTTGTTGTCTCTATTTTCCCTGTAACTACTATTGCCAGCTTCCGCCGGCGGCTTCCGGCGCCGGTCACCCAATTCCGATCTCACCCTTCCCGGCGACTTACCGGATTTCCTCGCGGACGGGCATCTACTTATACTGTTTCTTGTTCCTCCATTTTGATCTGCACACATCACTGGTGACCTTGTTCTCCTAAATGAACTCTCTCCATTATCTTTTCTTGATAGCCCACCCGTATTCTTTCCTGACCCGACCCGGCTTGGAGAAATGTTCCGGATCTGACCCGACCCAGATAAGTGATCAGACCTTATTCTAGCTGGAGAAGTGTTCCGGGTCTGAACCGAACCTGATAAATGCTCCGACCTTATTCTAGCTGGAGAAGCATTCCGTGTTTGACCCGACCCGGATAAATGCTCAGGCCTTATTTTAGCCGGAGAAGCGTTGTTCCGCTTCTTTGCAGGTGACCTCTGCCGGAGCTCAGTTCCAACATCTTTAATCATCTCTTTCGGATCCGACCCGACCCGAATATGCCTGCTGAGCTCCTTGATCGTGTCCTTGGGATGTGACCCGACCCGGATATGCCTGCTGAGCTCTTTGCCCGTCTCTTTAGAATCCGACCCGACCCGAATACTCCTGCTGAAGTTTCTGTACCTATCCCGAGGCTCCTGAGAGAGTTGTTCCTTAGGGTTGAAAATCATGGCTATTTTTAAAACACTATCATTATGGTTTTTTTGTTCCAAAATATTTTGATGATTATTTTTTGGTATTGTGGGAGTTTCAGAGAGGACTTCTTTCACTTTTTCTTCTTCAAGAAATGGAAGTGTAAGTGGTGGAGATCTATGAGATTTAGGTGATGAAGTAGTAGGATTTGAAGGTGTTTTTTTAGTAGAACTAAAAAAACAGCCCATTTGAATGACAAAGAGGATATAAGTTTTAATGGTTAATTAGAAGAATTCATGTATATAAATGGACAAAAGGTGATGAAAAAATGAATTGGTAATAGGATCAGTGTTGAAAATTGAAAGATAGTGAATGTGGTTGGAACTTGGTATAGGCTTTGGAGGAAAATGGAGGAGATTGATAAGTCAATGAAGTATTACTACTATATCTGTATATACAGGTAGGATGATATGATTTTCATTAACTGCATGGTAGTGACATCAAATAAATAAATAAATAATACAGTATTGGTATTGGAATGACATGGTCAGTTAGGCAACATATTTGATCAATTTGTTTGTCTTTGTTTGACTTGATATAAAATTTAAATATGTCATAAAATAAATTGGAATAGCTGCTGATATTAGATAATAAGTAGTTAAGTACAAATAATAGATTTTAAATCCAATTGATTAAATAGATTGTACTCGTATCTCAAACTCGAACACATAAAATTTAAATTTTAAAACCAATCTAAATTAGAATTATTCTTTGTTCTCATTTTATGTGGTGTTTGTGGAATTTGAAGTTTAATAAAGCAAGAAAACTTTTGAGACAAACCAAAACACCCTTATATAATATGATTTTAATTATGTCATAATATTTCTAGGACAATAAAAGAGTATAATTGAGAATGAAATAAAAAGTTTAAAGTTAGACTTTCACTATAGAATGATGTCGTTCTTTTTAATTAAAAAACTAAATAGAAATGTGTTTACCCGTAAAATGGTACAGTTGAATTTATACGTGGTTTTTAGACAAGTGAATTTATTTGATCCTGAAATAATAAAATAATTAAAGAAATGCACAATACTTAGCCTTGAAATAAAGATAAAATCACGAAAAACAATGATTTGGGGGCAGAGCTTCCGGGCACAACAATGATGAAACCAAGGAACAAGAAAGTAAAATTGTATAAAGTTTTTTATTGATTATAGCGTTAGTTTGCTAGGAAAATCGTGTCCTTTACAATGATACAGAGCTCACTTTTTATAGCTGCACATAGAGAACAAGGTGTTAGGATCATGCCCTTCTTTAATGTCAATTATGAGGGCCATTAAAGAAGGTGTAACAGTGAGCATAAATGACAAATTCTCTTCAACGGGCAGTGCACTAAATACTGTAGAATATTCTCCATTAAATACTACCGAGCAGAGGGTATTTATTGTATCTTTCTGAGCGTTATTCTTTTCAGTAACAGACGGGACAATTGCCTTCGGTTTTAGCTACCCCCGCTCCCCTTAGATTCCATGTGTCCCTCTTTTGGACGGCCACATAGCATAGCATATTTTATCCTATACAAAATGAGTGGATATAAAAGAGGGGTTTAAAGTTTAAACCTAGTTTTGAACAGGGTATCTACAGGTGTCTATGTGACTATTCCGTCTTATTACATTGGTTGGCAAGGATTATATTAGTTAACCACGAACGGGAAAGCGTTTAAACAATTAATGTTTGGATTAAGAAAAGATGTACTTTTAGGAAAGAAACTCGTATAAAGAATGTTATACTATTCTTCAAGAAATTTAAAGAGAACACATACAACATTCACAAAAGAATGAAAAGAAACAGAAAAACCTTTTAGTTTACACAGGAAATAAAAAGGGAAAATCGAGCTGCAGAAGTTGGAAAAAAGAAATAGAAAAACCTTAGCTGAAGAGTACTTACAACAAAGGAGTAAAGCTACATGGATAAGATTGGGAGATGATAATACTAAGTACTTTCACTCAGTAATCAAACATAGGAAATTGAAGCAGGCAATCACACAGATAAAAGACAGTACAGGGAACTGGACAACAGATTCAGACAGAATAACAGACACATTTGTTGAATACTATGAAAGCTTACTAGGAAGAACAGCAACAGATAGAATGAAGACTTTCAGGAGTATAATCAGGAATGGAAGCAGACTAACAGAAAATCAACAAGAGGAACTACTATAACCATTTTTGAGGAAGGAAGTGAAGCAAGCCATGTTTAAGATAGATAGCAATAAAAGTCCTGGTCCAGATGGATATGGGAGTGGTTTTTACAAAGCTGCATGGTCAATAGTGGGAGAAGAACTAACAGAAGCAGTACTAGAGTTTTTTCAGAATGGGAGACTGCCGAGACAAATCAATACTACAAATATTGCTCTGATTCCTAAGATGGAGGCTCCTGAGAATGCAAGTCAATTCAGACCTATAGCATGCTGTAGTGTGTTATATAAATGCATATCAAAGATGCTTTGTTCTAGATTGAAGCCTGCAATCAACCACATAGTAGCAGAAAACCAATCAGCATTTGTATAAGGCAGATCAAAGATGCACAGTGTTCTAATATGTCATGACCTTTTGAGACACTATAACAGGAAAACTACACCTAGGTGCCTAATGAAGATTGATCTAAGAAAGGCCAATGATATGGTGAGCTGGGAGTTTCTAGAGGAAGCAATGAGAGAATATGGCTTTCCAGACAGATTTATACAGTGGACAATGATTTGTGTCTCTACTGCAAAGTTCACAGCTAAAGTAAATGGAGAAGGACATGGATACTTTGAAGGCAAGAGAGGACTGAGGCAAGGTGACCCAATGTCACCATTGCTATTTGTCCTGGTTATGGAATACTTGTCAAGAACACTGAGTACTATAAGCAAGCTACAGGACTTCAGATTCCACCCCATGTGCAAGAATAGCAAATTGACTCATTTTATCTTTGCTGATGATTTGATGATATCTTGTAAAGGCAATATTAGCTCAGTGAATAGAGTGATGGAAGCATTAGATCACTTCAGTAGAGTGACAGGGTTGATTGCTAACATGGAGAAGTCCAACATCTTTGTAGCTGGAGTAGAAGATGAACTTAAACACCAACTGCTGAGAAGAACTAAGTTCACAGAAGGAGTTTTTCCCATCAAATACCTAGGATTACCCCTATCACCTAGGAGATGGAACAAGATGGATTGCTAGATGTTAATTGGGAAAATAACACAAAGAATAAATGTAACATACTCCAAACAACTATCATATGCTGGAAGGCTCCAAGTTGTTAATGCTGTGCTATTCTCAATTTATAGCTTCTGTGGAAATGATTTTATCCTCCCTCAAAGTGTGGTGAAAGGAGTAGATAGGTTATGCAGAGAATACCTGTGGGGGACAAAGGAAGAGATGAGGAAGGTGGCTTTGGTTGCATGGGAGAAAGTCTGCTGCCCAAAAAATATGGGTGGGCTAAACATCAAGGGATGCAGGGAATGGAACATAGCCTCAGTTGGGAAATTGATATGGCAGTTAGCACTTAACAAGGAATCTTTATGGGTAAGGTGGGTTCATGGGGTGTACATGAAGACCAATCCAGACATATGGACTCACTCTCCACCATTAGATAGCAGCTGGTACTGGAGGAAATTAAATTCAGTAAAAGAAGGGATGAGAGAGTGGTTCTCGCAGGGCAGATATATTCTCAACATTACTGGGGAGTACTCTATTAATTCAAGCTATATTGCACTAATGGGGAGACAACAAAAAATGAAGGTAGCTGATTTGATATGGTCAGCAGTAGCTCAACCAAAACACAGGTTCATAGGATGGTTGGCAACACTAGGGAAAATGTTGACAAAGGACAGAATGATTGGAATGAGTATACAGGTTGATAATGTCAATTGCATACTGTGTAATGTGGATGCAATGGAAACTCAGGAGCACTTGTTTGTACAATGTGAGTGGACAAGAGCAGTCTAGCAGGAACTGAGCAGATGGACAAGGCATGATGAACAAACTACAGGAGTGAGGCAAATGCTGGAGCAAATCAAAAACAAGCATTGGAAGCAATTCAGGAAAGAAGTCATAGCAGCAATACACTTAACAAGGATATACTATACATGGAGAGCTAGAAACACTAACATTTTTCAGGGTAGGACTGTAAAAACAGATGAGATAGTTGTACAAATCAAACGAGAAGTGAAAGAAAGAATAGATTTACTACATATGTCAAAGAAAGCACAGAAATATAGGGAGTTTATACGACAAATTACTTGTAATTAGTTTTTTTGTTTGTTGGAGGCCTAATTTCTATTCTGGAAATCAGGTGCTCTATAAGTGTAAATGATGATTAAAGTTAATGGTAATTCACATTGTTACCGACAAAAAAGAAGAAGAAATGAAGTGTCCATTTAGCGAAATTTAAGATCTGGCCTCTTAAAAGAACATGATTGGTTTTCAGTAATACTCACCTTTATGATTAATACTGCTGTTTGTAATTTATCCACTAATCACATGCATAATTTCGGGACACATTACATGTGCAATTATGAAACTGGCGAGTTTCTGACGTGGACAAACAAAGATAAAAACAAGAGGTGATATTTTAAAATTTCGACACATTTATGTCAAACTTGGATAATATGAAAATATTTTGATCATTTTGATAATGTGAAATTGGCTCTTACACCCTCCCTGTCTGTGTAACTGATTTTTGTGTCATACGTAAGTGAACGTTAAATAAGACTTACGACTAGTTAAATAAGACTTACGACTAGGGGTGCATAGGTCAGGTTGGTTCGGGTTTTGTAATTATCAAACCAAATCAATTGTGTCGGATTATTAAATCTAAAGATTAAACCAAACCAAACCAATAAAATTTGAGTTTTTTAATCTCGGTCTTTCTCGGGTTAATCGGGTTTGTTCGGGTTTTTTTTACAATAAAATTTTTGTAGCACAAAACATATAACTTGTGCTCACAATATTTTTTTAATCCCAGTAAGATACAACTATATAAGGTATTTTTCAAGAAAATAATACAAAATATGAGATGTGTCATGACATTATGAAAAAGTTTAAAAAATATTTATAAATTTCATCATAATAAATATATTTATATATTAAATATATCTAAATTTCTATATATGTAATGTCGGTTGGTTTGGTTTCGGTTTGACTTTCTTTAGTTAAAACCAAACCAAACCAAACCAATTATGGTCGGGTTTTTTTTTCCAACACCAAACCAAATCAAACCAAACCATAGTCGGGTTTTTTTCTCGATTTCATTCGGATTATCGGGTTGGTGCGATTTGTCGGTTTCCTTTGTACACCCCTAGCTACTTACAACTATGAATAAGATTATTAAAAGTTAATTATGATTTCATGTGAGAATTTGAATATACAATTCAAAACCTTAATATAATGAATGAACTAGTCAAAGGACTTTATAAGAATTTTCGAAAGCCTCTACCGTCTACAGAGTGCATGTTGTACACATAATTTAGATCTAATACCTTGACTTGGATTCAAGGTATACTTATTAGATCTGATCTAATTTTTTAAGCTTTAGTTCAACCTCTGAATGAGCTTTTCTTTCGATGTATTATATGAGAAATAGTAAACCCTAGCTAGTTAGACAAATCCATTTTTATTTCAACTTCAAATGAATTTTTTACGAAAAAATTAGTTTTGCTTCTTTGTCCAAACACGTTTTTATCTTTTTATTATTATCAAAAAATCAAACAAAATTCTAAAAACACTAAAATAATAAAATTAGGTTACCGAATGTATTAAAAAGGAGAGAGAGCATATAGTACAGAAATGAAAGCAGAATATGGCCATAACCATGTTAGAGGACTTACATGTCAAGACGGATTGCATTCCGATTAATGAAGTGTTAATTAAGTGTCAATTTAGTCTTTATACTTTTCCATAACGGAGCTATAAAAATTAATGTGGATTAGAAAATAGATAGTAGATATGCAAGAGATGTTTGTGTGTGTTAGTATTCCGCATCGGCTATGAAGGGGGTGTTTAGTCTCTTTATATGGTCTTACGCAATCCTTTTCTCTTGAGCTAGTTTTAGGGTTGAGTTAGATGCAAGATCCATTTTTTTATTATGGTATCAGAGCTAGACTCATCAATTCTTGTTTCACTTAATGTTGGGCCGCCAACTTATTTTTTTCACACTCCAGATGTCCAATCCTGGGCGTGCGGAGGAATGTTAGTGTCCCACAGCAGCTATGGACGGGGTGGTCATTGACAATTCTCATCTCTTGAACTAGTTTTAGGGTTGAGTTAAGCTTAAAATCCTATGACGAAAGTGTGAGTGTTTTTCCACACTTCAAACATTTTAATTTATGTTTCGTGAAAGAGAACAAAAAGTTAGATATGTGTTAAATCCAACAACACTAGTTGGAAATATACAGTTTTCTGATCTCACGTTAGATCCTAATTGTAGCATTTATTACCATCTTCTGGTTTGCTCGTTTAGTCAATTCGTTGTGATTTAATAGTGTGTGACAGAGTACAATTACAACTTCACAAGTCACGAAATTAATGAATGAGCTTCTGCAATTTGATCTCTGCGCTAAAGAAAGCACTGAAACTTCTCTCAAACACAGCCAATCATGATTTTGATTTCGTGGCTTTGTCCTTTGTATATTTAGGAGTTAAACTTAAATAGTGCCTTTTTGGGCACAAAATACATTTTTACTGTTAAAAAAAAAAATTACATAACTATATAATTCGCAGTATAATACTGCGAACAACCCTCAGGTAAGATATTATGAGAAAATTCTTGGGGTTGGATATAGTTTTGTCTTTAAGTCCATCAATTCCACCCTCCTTTTAACATTGGCCCATGACACCCCATCCCATTGGAAGCACAAACTTTCAAAAATATAAGTACCAATTAAAGAATTATAATAATAATAATTTCACAGCAAGAACTATATATATATAAAAGCATGAATACAAAAATTATTAGTACTATTAAATTATATTAAATTATATAAATTATATATGATTTACAAAAATAACCTTATAATATTAAATTATTTTTCTAAACATATTGGATAAAATTGTCATATTTATAACTTTCTAATATTTAGAACTTCTAATTCAATTAAGATTTTGTATTCGTGGAAACTTTTTTAGTACTATTTTTTAACCACTCAAATAGGTTCCCATAAGGATTAAAAAAAAGCACGTAACTTTAATTTGCTGGGAAAAAAGACTTTAATTACTACTTAGTTTTTAGAGTCTTTTTCTTTTATTGAGCTAACGTCAAGTACTAATACAAAAACGAAAAATAACTATTGAAATACTTATTAGTTCAAAGTAGTTTAAGAAACATGATTTCCTTAAAGCAAGCATGCCCCAATTATAAGTGTATTAGTCCAAAAAGATAAATCGCATAAAAAAGGTCTAAAAAGGCAAAGTCATGGAACTTATAGCATGTTTGGTGTAAGTTTCTTTTTGGTCAAAAATGCCTATTTTGGTAAAAGTATTTTATCCTTCTAAAGTTAAGGTCTTTGGCCAAGCTTTTAGAAGAAAAAAAAAATGCTTTTGTGTAGAAACAGAAATAGTTTTTGAAAAGCAAAAGAAGTAGTTTCTTGCTAAAAATATTTTTTTTAAAAAGCTCTTATGAGAAAAATACACTTAGAAGCACTTTTAAAAGCTTGGTCAAACACTAATTGTTGCTCAAAAGTATTTTTTTTC